AAATAATTTATTTTTGTTTTAATAATAAAATATTTTATAAAGATAATAATTAAGTATTCAATTAGAACTCAATGATTATCCTAATTATATTTTAGATTTTTTATATTTAATATAAGGTGTTTATCCTGTATTTGATTATGTTTATCGTGCAGTTAGTTAAACGAATTCAGATATGGAGCTTTAATAAGTTGTACTTACGCACAATCTATTTGCAATCTTAAGTTTTAAGTAATATACATTAATAAACAATACTTTACGCATAAAAAGTAGTTTTTAAGAGTTTTTGTCAAATGTTTTATAATATAGTATAGATATGTGACTTAAAAACCCTATTTGCCTAATTTAAACTAGATGCTATATATATACAATTTAAATTAAAGACGGATTCGGAATTCTTTTTTAAGTGTGTCAACGTTTGACTATATAAAAAACGAAGTTTTGATATTTTTTACAAAATTATCATTAGTCTATTGGTTAGTTTATTACTTTTTATATGTACAGTACTGCCGTTCCAAATCTTTTATCCTAACTTTTTTCAAAAATATAATAAACCGGAAATTAAAGGTTTAAAATTAAGAAAATGATAGAAATAGATCCAAACTTGCGTCTAGAAGAAAATAAAAAATCGTGTAAACCAACTCTACTAGAATAAACTTATGTTATTATTGTAATTTCAAGAGAAATATCTTATTATACCCAACAAAATAATACAGTAACAACTTCTGCAACCCTAAAATCTTTACACTATAACAAAAGAATGAAACGAAGGTCCATATACCAGCGGCCGCACACTTGAACGACAACCTAGAAACTAGAACGTCAAGGGAATGATTGGATAATTAGTTTATATAAATCCTTCCTGGTTCAAACTAAAGGTAAAAATAAGATTTCCAGATTTTAACAAAGTAATATTTCCATTTATTCATCAAAAGAAACGTCTCTTTTGAAGTAAGAATTGATTTTCCTTTATACCTAACATAATGCATGAAATAATCTTTGAACAACCATAAATTAGCTTGAAAAACGTTGGCAAAGACTTTTGCAAGATGCTTCATTTTTCCATAAAATATATTTATTCAAGAAGGACGCCAGAAGATGTTGATTGTAAGTGAGAAGATTGGTTACGGAGAAAGATGAAGCCAGATTCATATTCACATACATGAGAAGTATACAGAAAAAAAATAGTCTGTAATTTGTTTTTGAAAAAGAACTGTCAAAAACAGGGCTAGTGACTGAAGTAAAGTCGTAACAAAGTAGGCATATCGAAAGGTACGATTTTTTTCAAGAAAAACTAATATTTGTTGGGTATTTTAATAACACTACTCCACACCTGAAAAAACCAAACTTTATTGTTTCATGTGAGGACAAAGTGATAGGATCCCCATTTTACATCCCATCTTCCAATTTAAAAAAATAAAAACAAACTATAAGGTGGTATTTGATTGGTTTGAGTTTGACTCCAAAATATCTGGAAGTCTCAGGTTCAAATTCAGTGAGAAATAAAAATCCCCTTGTGACCATGGAGGTTCAAATGAGGTGACTCCGATCTATCTATAAAACAGGTGATCGTCTTGAAATTAGTCGGCTCAAATAACGGATTGGATATTCAGGTAAATTAAAAAACAAAGAGCAAAAAGTTGGTGTCTTGAAAGTTGTGTTAAATTCTTTTCTTGGTCTTGGTTGTAGAAAGTGGACGCCACGTGTCAATGGTACAAGCACGAGATGCACATATGTACAAAGTCTCCCATTGCAGACACAACAATAAAAACATTAAATAAAGAAGAATTATTAAAATAATTATTTATAATAGTTAAATTTACCTCTTAGTTGTTTTTCATTTAAATTTTCTAAAATATTACTACCTGTACAAGTAACAATTACTTAACCAGAGGAAGTGTTAAAGTGTAAAAAAAGAAATTTTTAAACATCGTCTATAAATACATAAATCAAATCTATGAGTGAACACAAGTGGCGTAGTTGCTACTTACGAAGATATTGACATTTTTTAAATTTAAAGAGAGAATTGACTAAAAGGTAAATGGAAATTTATGCTATATTATAAAGCATTTGACAAAAACTTTTAAAAACCATTTTTTATGCATGAAGTATTGTATATTGACGCATATTACTCAAAATTCAAGATTACAATTAAATTATGCATATGTACAACTTATTAAAACTCCATTTTTGAATTCGTGTAACTAACTGCGGATAAAAATAATCAAATAGAGAATAAACATCTCATTTTAAAATATACAAATTCTAAATATAATTAGGATAATTATTAAGTTCTAACAAAATAATTAATTTTTATGTTTATAAGAAAATTATATTAATAAACCAAATATAAATTATTTCGTTATTGAGCCTAAATTAGATTACAATTAAAAAAAATTGAATTAAAAATTACGCACAAAATATGAATTTTAAATAGTTAATTTGATACTAATATCGATATATTTTTGTCAAAATGTTATAATATCTTTAAATTTATATTTTATTCAAAAATAAAAATATCATCGTTTTTTCAAAATTACATAAGACCATAATATAATATCGACTGAGATAAATAATATAATAAAATATTAAAATCAAGATGTATTTTGCTACATTGCACGAGTACCCTTCTAGTATTAAATAAATGCATTTTAATTCTTGAACCCATCGTCATACCAACATCCAAAACTTGCACATTCTTCCTTTTCTCTCTATGTCAAATCAAAACCAATCAAGATTTCAAGATTCAATAAAACATTGATTGCTATATTCTTACATTTTTTATCCCTTGTTTCAACACATTAAACAAAAAATTAAAAATAAATATGATCAAAATAATTCATTTAAATTCAAATGAGGGTAAATAAAACTTCAGTTTCGTTGGCCAACTGCAAAGTGAAACCTGCCTGTTCCCTGATCACTGAAAGCATACTCCAATCGAAGAGGCCCTAACGGAGAGGCGACCCGCATACCGACTCCATAACCATATCCACTTCCGGGCTTTAACCGTGCCCCCGCAGGATCCCCTTTCATATACACCCAGATATTTTCATGTTTCAGTACGAATATGACATTTTGTGTGCAGGAAACCATAAATCACACGAGGGATGTTAATAGATCGAACAAATTACCAGGAACGGTTGAGCCTGATCCAAGATCGGTTCCATAGTCCGCAAACATAGCTCCTTCTACTGGTCCAACCTGCAACCTCAATCAAATAATATGAAGGGATTTATGAAAAGATCATCTTTATTTTCAGATTTTGCATTAAAACATGGTTTTTTCAGTCAGTTTTGAAAGGTTAAACAACTCAGAATTGATCCAAGAGCATATCACAATGCTAGAATGAGAAAGAAATTGCCAGCAAAAAAAGTGATTGGATCACCCACCAGAGGGAAAGAAATTTCTCCACAACCAACAGCATAAGATCTTCCCGACCCAATTGCCCCTTCTTCGTACCCTCTAACACTGTTTGTTCCACCAATGGGGAATGCTTCGTGGGGAGGAAAGTTACCCACAACGTGCCCACCAGATAGACTGTATTCGTGGATAATTAAACGGTTTAGCAGGAAAAAAAAAACATAACTTTATTTTGATAAAGATAACTTTTTTTTTGAAGTATATAATATTTATATACGACAAATAGAACAAATAAACTCACCCTCCTCACCTTTGGTGAGGTTTGAACCCCTGACCTTCTAGGAGGCCAAAGACTCACAAACCGCTAGACCAAATACCCTTTGGTGATAACTTTTTCTTTTGGGTGCATGTTCTGGGGAAAGCAGATTTTCTCGTGACGCTAACAATGAATTTGGTAGTTTCATATGCACCCAAGATCATAAATAGGATAAGTTACCTCAAGTTAAGGCAAGCAGGGCCAATTACCAGGCCTTTCCTTGCACGGGAAGTAACTCTGTTAAAAACTAGCCAATCTGACCATACAGGAAGTCCTTGCTCCATATTAACTACTAACTGCGAAAGTAACAGCCATGAGGTTCCACAATCACAGTGAAACTGTGAGAGAAAAACGTTTCACGCGTCTTACCATTGAAGAACTAGGGTCACTAGAACCAGTATACACACTTTCAAGTTTACCAAGTACCATATCATCATGTATATTGCCACTACAACAAATATGAAATGAAAATTGTCAAAGTCTGACCATTAAACATCATGGCTATAATAAAGAAAACCTCAAGACTACCTTGCAGTTAGTGGGCTGCTATGGAAATCCCTTATTATCGGATTCCCTTTTTCATCACGAGCCCCAGCACGCTGTTATGTGAAGATCAGAATACAGGCAGGAATGAGTTGTTTACTAAAAACATTTGCATATCATAATAGATAACCTTAAAATACCTGAAAAATAAGCCCTGCAGTCCCACTCCACTTTGGTCGGAATGGCCGACTATATTCAATGCCAGCAGTAATCCGTCCAATTGTCAAGTTGCTGTTATTGGGTTGATTGCCATGAACAAGAGTGCCAGGGGTCCTCGAGTTCTGAAATATAGTGACTCGGAAAATTAAAATCTAGCATCTTCTTTTTTAAATATCATGGAACATAACCAAATCAGATCAAAAGTTAGAAAGCTGGGTACCTGAATCATTATTGCTCTTGATGTCCGCTTATCATCTCCTTCGATCCATGGATCCGTGTAGTTGATCCGGAATATTGAGTCAATTTGCCCCCTTTCTAGTGAAAGGTTAATCTTTTGGTTCCTCCCAAAGAGATTTCGATGATAAAGTGCACAACTGCATTGGAAAAAAGAAAGATCAAAGTTAAAACTGCCGGAATCAAGATCGTGTTAACAATAATGTCAAAAGATAATATGTCATACTGTTTCCTCAAAGTGATGTATTACCTCCCAATAAGTCCTGCTAGAGGGCCACTTGTGATCCTACAAATGGAAGAATCAATAAGTGAATATCCATTTACCTACCATATACACTTTAAATGACCATTCAAAGTTGTAAACTGATTATATAGTCGACAGAGATATATCAAATATTGAAGTAAGTCGGTCGAAAGTAACAATACATGAACCCTTAATGAGATCACATACCCACTTGAAATTCCACCACCAGCCGAGATCCCTCCACTTACACGTTCAACCGCATTAATTGTTAAGTCCACCTTCCCAGAGTCTGTAACAAAATAATTTTGGTTCCTCGTTACTCAAGAAGAAAATATTTCATGCCAAAAACCATTTATGAAACCACATGAATTAGCGTGGCATGTTACCTCCAGCAGGCTGCGGAACGATACTAACATCCTCCATAATACCCATTGCTAGCAATGTATCTACGTCTCTTTTTGCTTGAAGCATACTGTAGACCTGATAAGAGCATTCCGCTTCCATATTACATCACCTTTCACAAATTCTTAAACACCATAGAAATGTGAAGTGTGAAGTGATAAACATTTATATCAAGTTTGCAAATTACAAGCCACCAAAAATAAAACTTAAGCAGAAAACACTATTCTCTAATACCTGCCCCTTTTTCGTATTAAGTTGCCGAAGTATAGTCTCAGGCCTCGTCTTACCCGTAGTTTGCTCACCACTGAAGCAGATAACAAACACATGGATATAATGTCGATATATCTTCAAAATGGAATCATTGCATAATTAGAAAAACAAAAATTAGCTTCTTACGTTCTACGAAGAAAACGTACGGATATATTGTTGACCTCTGCTTCCGACACTTGTAACCTGATAATCCCCCCAGAGAGAATCTCAATCCCCGAAACCTGATGATTTCATCATAACACAGTCTATTGGTTAATTTTAGTATATGGTCAAATAATAATAAAAAACTGGAGCACCATTTGAAATATCCAATATGCCTTTCTACTAAAATTACAGAAAGAACAAACGACAATGGGATCAATGCTAACCAAGCCAAAAAGACCACGCTCCATATACCACCCATTGATGGAGTTTATAACTTCATCTAAGCGTCTGATGTTTACAATTTTTCCTGCATAACTTGAAAAAATATCAGTTAAAAATAGCAACTTAAGAAGCTTCATAGTAAGCAATGATGTCTACATTACAATAAATGTTAATCTTTTTTGTTCTTTTCCCGGCTATGTACCAACCTCTTCCAATTAATCTGAAGCAGAATGAGAAGCAATAGATTCAAAAAGGCGATAACTTTTATTCTTGTTGGGCTCGGATATGGATGGTGCTTATCAAGATTCGAAGTATAGTAATTTGCATCTCTAAAGCTACTACAAGATACAACTTCATGCTATCATCATGACAATAAAATTATTTCCATAAGAGAGTTTAAAGCAATAGACAATTCATGCATCCTAAAATGTCTTCAAGAATGTCATACTTGAAACGATGATTAGTTTGTCAAAGTTTATTCTCTCCCTATGCTTGTTTTTGCATGTGTCCATTTACATTTTTATCACTATTTTTGGGAAGGATAAGCAAAAGGAGGCTGCACAAAAGAAACATACCATATCCATCACGAAAAGCATCCTCTACAAATTTTGTTGGCAGAACGTTGGCTCCTTCACAAACCAGCCCTTGGAAATCTTGGTTTGGTTCTACCTTGTGCCAAAAGATACTAGTGTAAATAACTCCATCACACCAATATTAGAGTAGAACAAGAAGATTGGAAATGCATGTATAATAGTAGCATCTAGGCAACTGTATTTGTGTTACCCTTACAATAAAGTATGTTGGTCCACTGAGAATCAAAAATTATAATCGATAAAAGAATATCACTATGTGGCCAGTATTATCATCAGAACAGGTGGGATCCTAAAGTTAGATGAACCGCGCTTCAGATCTTAGATATACAAATATCTCATTCACCAATACTGTAAGATGAAACATAAAAATGTATGCACACATATACCCACGAAGTAACCCAACTGACGAATCTAGAGATGTAAATAAATGTTGAATGGGAAGTCTAGCTTGAACTGTTAACCAGTCTAGGACTTTGCGGATCCAACTGTGTAAGTAAATGGTTAAAATGACTATGACATTTAGCCTTTAGGTAGTTAGGATGACAATTTCTTTTCTTATCCTTTTGGTGTATATAATATATTTTCTTCTATGATTCAAGAATGTGCTGAAAATTCACAAAACATATTATAGAATCCTTGTCACATCCTGAAGGTAGGCAAATTGCTTAACCACGGAAAAGCAGTGTTTGATCACTTCCTGTGAAAGTGATTATTAATGTCCATGTGTCGATCTTAACTTGAGATGCACAAGATCTGGGCTTTTCGGGGATGGCCTGGGCCTTCCAAGCCTATTTTTAGTAAACCAAGAAAAAGCACAATCTTTATTGGCCCCAGGCCCTGGTCGGGCTTAATCGGGCCTAACATGGTATTGTTGGTCAAGCACCTCATAGAGCAGGAAATTCTACAAACTTCGAAGCAGTGTGTAATGTTAAGTTGCAAGATGCATCCCTTCGCTTTTAACCAGGGTGGACTTCACATATGCAATTCACCAATTTGCATAACTTGTTTCTGATATCCTAATTACCCTTATGCAATACAAATACTGGTTAGAGCTACCAAATATTTTCTGTTCTCAAACCTTTTGTGCACATACTATCTATACATAGGCCCTGCACACTGAATATTTGCTAATTACATACAATTTAAGACCTAAATTGTAAGTTTTTATGCATTTACGATACCTCAAACACCAAACGGATGCCATCACGAGTATCCACAGCTACAGGCATGCAAGTAGAGAAATACCCACTTCCAATGATCCTATGCACATCTTCCTGAACCTCTTGTACCGTTAAAGCGGAATTAGGTCGACATGTTTTCAATGCCGCCATTGCCTCTTCCTCCAGATCTTTCCTTTCAAGCTCCTCTCCGTCTTTATTCCTCACTAAAACCTCACTAATTAGAACACGCTCGTCATCGTGCCGACTCACCGGATGACTCTTACTCGACTGAGTAACCTCGCCGACTTCCTCATCACCGCGGATCAACGCCAATGAAGTAGAGCACAGTGGCGGTTGTTTTTTGGAGTGAAAAGGGTTTGACAATTTGGGGAGTTTCTGAGTACTCGCTTGGAATTTGTTGATATAAGATATGAATTGAGTGATTGGATGTTTGGAGCTGTTAAGAATTGAAGAGATGGAAAGATTGAGGTCGGCGAAGAGAGGTAGTGGCCGTCGGTTATGGTGTTGGCGCCGGTGGTTGTGAATAGGGAAAAACGGAGGAATTTTAATGGAGGAAGATCTGAAGTGGAGGTGTTTGTTTTCCGGCATTGTTGTAATCGGTGGCGTTACGATGCTCTCCAACCTCCGGAAAACCCCGGTATTAGAAGTCAGTTCGGTGATGACATTTCCTAGGGTTTTGGTTAGGGCATATGCCAATTCTCTAACACGTACTGCGACAGTGAAAATTTTTATGAAGACTAGTTTATATATTATTTGCCCATTAAAAAACTATTTCCTAACTCGCAAAAAATAGATCATTTTGGCTTTTTTTTTTATGGGATAAAAAGTTGATAACCGACGATTCTAATTGATCTCAGGTGGAATCCGTTGACACCGATTTTAGAGGATATTTTTTAGGTCACTCAGTAATTGAAGGTAGGTAGGCATGAGGAGCCCGGTCCATTACCTTGGGGACGGGGATTCACTTCTAAACCAGAGATGGAGACAGGGACGAGGATTCTCCTTTGTCTCAAAATCGGAGACTGGGACGGGTAGCATACTCCTCGTCATGCCTTGTGCTTGTTATATATTAATTAATAAATTATATAATATATATATATATATATAATTTTAACTAAATTGGTAATTCATAATTTCTTTTTTCCTATTTTCTAATTAGGTTTAGAGTTTAGAATTGTTAATTTTTTTTAGAATGTTAGTAACTTAGTATGTAATATTTTAAATGTCATGTCAAAATACAATTACTCGATATGTTTTCGTTATTATTCAATATGGTTTTTATATTACTCGATATGTGTTCGGTACATGTGACATTAAGTTTTTTTTTTTTTTTTGGATTATATTGAATTTCTTTTGGAATTAGGTTATTACATGATATTGTAATTTATTTTTTTTGTATTAAATTAAATTCTTTGATTTTAGGTTTATTGGAAATATGTAAAATTTAAAAATATATGGTCTCTCACATATCTGCTTTAAAATAACTTACATAGACGGGTAAAAATCCCCATTTTCCCATTGGGATAGAGATGTGATAATATTCCCCGACGGAGATGGGGATTGAGGTTCCCACCCCATTCTCGTACCTAAAAGTAGCAGAGGGTTTGAGATCGAACCTATAACTTGTCTTGTATTTGAGCAAAGTCGTTCACCTATTTACCAACTCGGCTACATGCCAGATGCGACATTTTTTTATAGAGATAGGCTAAATACACATCTGTCTGCTAATTTTTACTTCACCCATATCAACATCTAGACTGAATGTATGATTTGACTTGATTTTGATATAAATAGATGTGTACATTGCAACATCTTTTTTAAAGTAGTCATATCAGAGAGATACTACTGCAATATGATTGTTTTGATGGTTATCCCTTTAAAAAATCAATATTTATTTATTCTTAATTTTTGTGTTAAATCTTGGTTAAACGGATGAAACTGTTGTTTGTGGTAGAAGGCACTTGATATCGTTTGTGTTGATTCTAGGTTGATCTAAAAGAAATGACCATTTGATGGGATGTTATATTTTTGACTCGGGTCATAAACTAAAGATGATCAAACTTCCAATCTGATGATAATAATTCAATAAAAGTTTGAGTAGTGTGGTTGCAGTTGCGTTTATAGCCCTTTGATTGAACATAGACCACCAATGACATGTACTTTTGGTAGAACAATCGTAGACGTTTGATGTTATGATATCGAACGACCCACTCATAAGGAAGTGAGTTCGCACTGTGATCTATTGACGTATGCAGTTGTCAGTTGATGCTAAGAGGAGGAAAAGTTGGATGGCAATTGGTCAAGAAAAAGGCTAGGACAGTGACTTGTTAACAAGGTTGAATCCATGTAGTTCATGTATATCACATATACTCAGTTAAATTCACACATTTTTTTTTCTGTGTTGGTGTAGTAACATTAGTGGTAACAGTTGCATGATAGAGTTTTATGTTTTTCAATAAATTTTATTTGCAGATACATCAAGTCATCAACATATATATAAGGAATTAGAGAAGAGAAATCAAACTCCGATATCTACATTGGTTCGATCAATTATGTCTGGTGCATTATTCCCGAGCCAACATACAACTTGCATTCACACATAATTTTGATTTCCATGAAACTTGGCAATTCAATGGTTCTCACAACAAATAAATTATTCACCGAAAGGGGACAGGGATTCTCCGCTAAAACGGGCCCCGGGGTCGGGGGCTGTTATTCAAACCGGGGTTGGGGCCAGGGCTCAGGATCCCCGGTAGACTTAAACTAATGAATATGTTTCATAGGGTTTGACCGGAGACTGGGGATATTACTAAAAACCGGATCCGGGGATTACAAAACCCGCCCCATCCACGCCCCGTTTGCGATGCCTAATGAACACTCTATTCAAAACCGGGTGAATCGCTTAAATTAAAATATTTAGTTTTTTTTAAATCAAATTAAATGAATTTCAATTTATAGAAATCCATCGTCGTTCCTTAATCGTCGTGTTGTTAAGATATTTGTTGTTATTTGGTATAACATCGTATACCAAACCCGTATGTACAGTGAAAAGATAAAGTTTATAGTTAAAAGTATGAAGGTTATGTTGATGCTTAGATGTATTTCCTTTACCAAAAGTACGATATTTGATTCATGACGTATGGCTTTATAAAATGGTTGTTTAATAACCAAATGTATAAAAATACTCTTGAACACAACAAAAATCACAAACTCTATCTACTAAATTTATATTGCCAATATGTACATATATTCTCTCTCTCTCTCTCTCTCTCTATATATATATATATTGATACTTATTATTTATTAAAAAATGTAATTTAAAAGGGAAAATCACTAAAATGACTAAAATATACCCGATATATTAACGAAATAACCACTTCTCAGCAAAATTGCCAAAACGACCACCCGGATCGCCCCCGGGGGGCGATCCATGACTTTGGGGGGCGATCCCCCTTATGTGGACCAAAAAAGTACCAAAAATAATATAAAAATGATTTTGGTGGGTCTCACATCCTCCTTTTAGGGTACATACCTTGTTTTACGTGGATCTATCCCGGGGGCGATCCATGTCACTCAATCCCCCCCAGGAGCGATCCAACCTTTAATTGTTTTTTTTTGTTTTTTTTTTCATTTTTTAATATCGATTAAGGGGTGTTTTTAATAGACATGAGATGATATTTAAATTGTTTTTTTTTTACCTTTTTAGGACCAAATGTCATGGTTTTATTATATAAAATAAAACTACTTATACTCTCACAACCCGTAAACCTTATAAAAATATGATTGTACGTGAAAATTTCTAATTTTTACCAAAAAAATTTAAACGCATAAACTAAGCAAAGAATGTTGTTATATTTTTCTTATAAGAAATGTTGATTTTCCCTAATAATTGTAGGGACGAAAAAAATTATTTGTATCTGATTTGGTGAACAAAAATAAGATATTTTAAGTTGAATCTTATTTCGTCTTTTAGTGCAACAAATTTCATTATAAATACTAACTTTCTATTTCATTATTTTTCACATCTCCTCTTTCATTTCTCTTCTCATATATTTTACTCTCGCAACCCTTAACCATTCAACACAATAAACCATCACAATCATTAACCGTTAACCCATCAAACACAATCAACCATCACAAAAACATGAAATCACGTCAAAGTGACGATGTTTTGGTGTATCTTCAAAGTGGCGGAAGGTGGTCGGTAGTGGGGATGGACGGTGGTAATTGGCGGCAAAAGGTGGCAGCGGAAGGTGGTGGATGGCGGCGATTCACAGTGGTAGTTGGCGGCGGAAGGTGGTCAGTGTCGTGAAACGGCGGTGGATGACGGTCGATCGGTGAATGGTAGTCATCGGTGATCGACCGTGGATATCAGTTTTTCTAGAGGTGGGAGGGACAGGAGGTCGGCGAGGATGATGATTATGGTCCCCCCGACCGCCTATTTATATAAACCATTATATAATAAGACAAAATACATCGTTAAATCGGCGTCAAATCATAGACACTAAAAAACGAAATAGCGGTCAAACTACATAAATCAGATATAATATCTGATTTATTTCCCAAAATCAGATAAAAATAATTTTTTCGTGACCACAATTATTATGGTTTTATTTTATAACCTAAAACCATGATTTTTAATTAAAAAGGTTAAAAAAACAGTTTAAATATCGTTTCATTTTTATTAAAAACACATCTTAATTGTCAAATTGTCGTCAAATCAAAAACACTAAAAAACGAAATAGCGGTCAAACTTCGTAAATCAGATATAATATCTGATCTACATCCCCCAAATCAGATAAAAATAATTTTTGTGCATCCACAATTATCATGGTTTTATTTTTAAACCTATAACTATGAAGTTTGGTCCTAAAAAGATTTAAAAAACAATTTAAATAGCGTCTTTTTTTTATTAAAAACACCTCGAAAAAAATAATAATTAAAGGCTGGATCGCCCCCGGGGGCGATTGGGTGACGTGGATCGCCTCCGGGGTAGATTCACACAAAACGAGGTTGTACCTTATTAAAAGGCATGTGAGACCCACCAAAAATAATTTTTTATTATTTTTTGTACTTTTTTAAGGGGATCGCGCCCCCCCCCCCCCCCCCGGGGGGCAATTCATGTGTATATTTGTGCAATTTTGATGAAAAATGGTTATTTCGTTAATATATCGGGTATATTTTGATCATTTTTATGATTTTCTTATTTAAAAGATATACATGTATCTATTTTATGTAAGAAAGTAAAAAGGTAACCCATAAAAAGTATCTCAACTATGAAATCCCTCCCACGATGGATCATGGCTTACATTGGGCATAGCTTTTGCTTTGTTCTTGGATGGATGAGTGAGTCGATTGGAGCTTTCTTTAAAGCCTTCAAGATCTCTCATGCCATGTTATATGTCAAATCTTTTTAATTATTTCTTTTCTATCTAAAGAAATATTCATGCAAATACAGATATAAATACAGAGTGTTCCAATATGTATACAGGTTTGATGATCTGTATCTAGTCAATTTAACACCGTAAAACCTCTCTCTCCTTCTCCTCAAATTGAGGGTATGGTGTCCCAAGAACGTAGGTGAAAATATGTATGGAGTCCCCAGGTGGTGCTAGAACTGGTCACTCCGTATTTTATATGATGCTAAGAGGGGGTCTTCTTTTGAAAACTTGCTAATTTGTGAGATTTATTAGATCCAATTTAAACCATAAAAAATTACCTGAATAATAAAACCTAATATAAATTAAAAGTAAAAATATGATATAGATGTAATAATGATAACAACATTTTTGGTCTTGGTCAATTAAATTTACATGGAACATGTTTAAGTAGATGAAATTTTTTATAAAAGAAATCACACATGATTATCTGTTATTTGTTTTTTATCGGGAAGAAAAGAAACCCCATAAGCAGGAACCTAATTACTACGACACTTTACATCAAAGGCATATGCTATGTATGTGCTTACATATTCCTTTGCTGGTATACGAAAATTAACAATCATAACTTGTTATTTTACTTCACTAACTAATAATCTTATAGTATCAATCATGAAACGTGTTTTTTTTTTGAAGAAATCATGAAACGTGTGTTGAAACCCATACATGTGTGGTTGAAGTCAAAGGCTAAACGTTAATTCATGCTTGTAGTTTTTCACTGATAAAAAAAAAATTAAAATACCGTACGCCTTCTATAAAGAAGATAGAATACCAGTATCACTTCTTATAATTATAACCATCTATCTTTTACTAAATTAATATGGTTTTTAAAATACCATACAGCCTTTGCTCTAGCAGTATCGTAGTTCTTGGTCTCCTAAGAGGTCAGGGGTTCAAACTTCACCAAAAGTGAGAAAGATGTGTGAGTTTATTTGTAACATTTGCTGTATATAAATATTATATACTTCAAAAGAAAAATAACACTGTTTGTTGTACATAGATACATAAATCAAAATTGATTGAAATTTCATTCTCCTTTTTAATACAAATACTTTTGTTACATTGATAAAGCTTCTTCTTTTAAAAGTGTTAAGGTCACTTTTTTTTTTCTCAAAAGAGGCCAATTCAAGTGCTTTTTAATCCACAACGTGCTTCGAGTCACATTAAAAAGCCGTTAGTCGTGTAAAGAAGACGTAAAAACAAATCCCGTGAATACTATAAACTCATAATTTCGTATAGTTTATTCGAAATTGTCCAAGATCGTGGAAAATAATACGTTATTATGAGTATGACGGAATACCACTGGATCAAATCCATGTGGCACCAACATTTTTTTTAGGAGTATGTTGGATATCCTTGTGTTACCCGCATTTCAGAATCTTTATTCAACTTTAGTTCTGTTACGTATTAGATTCACTTTGAAAAAAAAAACATATTAAAAAGATAATTTATGAACAATTCATTTATTACAAGTAAATGTAATTTTAGCCCAAATACCACAATATTTTTTTTATTAACTTGTATATCCAACTTGTTATGAGAGTCAAGGTAGCTCAGAGTCACTGCATTTGAATTTCCGTAGCTCTATGAGGATTTTTATTTCTACTTGGATTCGAACCTATGACCTCCATACACTTTTGATCTTTGGAACTCAAGCTAAAACCAATCAGACACCACCCTTATGGTTAATACCACAATCTTATGGTTAATTTTAAACGTTTTAAAATAATTTTTCCCAAATTAAAATCCATCATTTTTATTAAATTTTCCAAAACAATTATTACATTTTCTTTTCAAGCTCAAATTTAATGTTTTCCCCAAATCATTATGAGATGTGGGTTTATAACGTTTTTATTTTATTTTGTCTATATCGAAGTAAATAGAGAAAATTAAAAAAAAAAACCAACAAATTATTTGATTTTGTATAATCAAGTCCTTAAACTATTTTTTGTTCATGATTCTGTTTTAAAAATGTTTCGGATAATATTTGTTCAAAATTAAGTTCATGATTTTGTTTATTCAAAAAAAGTTTGGGGCTTATTTGTTCAAAAAAGTTCAAGAATTTTATTTGGTAAAAAGTTTAGGGATTTATTTATTAAAAAGACGGGTACTTAATAGTTTATAATCAGATACTTTGCTGGTGTTTTTAGACCGTTTTCTAATTTATATCACATTAACCTGTTTTTACAGGTTATAAGAATGTATTTAACCTGTTTTAGAAAGTCTAAGTATTTTATCATTCAACAAAATAGTTTAAGAACTTAATCAATCAAAATCAGATAGTTTGTTGTGTTTTTTAGACTTTTCCCATTTTTTTTAAGATTAATTATACATTGAGTCAAATATACATTTATCATAGTGGATGGAATATATGTTTTGCTACATATAAAGTTTTTTTTAATCGTAATCCCCGACACTTATTCTCCTAATTACTTGATAAAAGGTTCTTACAAATGGTTTCATTGACTAATTTTGGTCTTCTAATATGTTGTACCATCTTTACAAAATTGATAATACTTTACAAGATTCCAAATGTTCGTGTGCATAGACATCTATATATAACATACTTTTTATAAAGGCGTCTCATATATACTTTTTAAAAAATATCGTTTTTATTTACGGGTTGAGTTCCGGCGAAAATGAGAGTAAAAATGATGTGAATAAAAACTTCTAACACTTCCCATCTTAACTCTCATTCTCACACGATCATTTGCCTTTATTCATACCCTCACCATATGAGTGATATGTAAGCGAGCAAGAGGTGTTAAATGTAAACGATGTGAATAAAAACGGATATATAAAAAAACATAAATGATGTATGAATAAAGGGTATGAATAACAACCCAACTCAAAATAATATGATGCTAAATACATTTAACGATGCTAAATAACAACCCTGATTTGATCATATGATACAAAAAAGAGAAAGAGATGAGAAGTAGCTCACATTGTTTTGGTACCATATGTTTCAAGGCCTCTTTTTCATGAGAAAGGATAAATATTGCATGAGATAAGAATCTCTACCCTTTTCATTCCTTTGAGTTTTCATTTTTAATTAATAAAAGTTACAAGAAAATTTGTTTTTAAATTAAATAAATAATTATTTCAAATGAATAAAAATTAAATTTTCTCTTTTCACATATGTTCTCATAAATTTCTAAGGCAAATTACATGAAAAAATGACGTACCTTAATTTGATTCCTATATTGGGTAACGTACTTTGAAAACTTTCATTTTGGTACCTAAGATGTAAAGTTTTAAACATTTAAGTACGCGGTTGAAGACTAATTTTAGATTTTTAAAATCCATGTCACTAACCACGTTAGCAAATAATACCGAGTTGGATACCAAATCACTCGCCACATCAACATCATGACCGGTTAATGCTTTTTCAACTGGTTACCCGAGCACTTAAATGTTTAAAACTTTACATCTTAGGTATCAAAATGAAAGTTATGAAAATATGTTACCAAAATAGGAATCAAATTAAAGTACGTTACTTTTTCATGCAATTTGTCCAAATTTCTATTATAATGAACAACATAAAAAAGAAACTGATGGAGCAAAATAAAAAATAATTGTTTATATCTTAGAGAATCTACTAAAGATATGTCGTCTTAATCAAATACTGTATTCCATATGAATATTTGAGTTATTTTATATTCTATGTTCACTAGCTGTATATAAAAGTTTGTAATGTCTTTCGCGACCATATTTTTTTTAATCCGTATTGTAATAAACATAATTTTAAACCCTTAACTAATAATTAAAACCTTATCGAACAATAATAAATTGTAAATCATAAGGATAAAAATAATAATGAATTACAAACTATAGGTAAAAAACCAGAATTTCTAAACATATGGATTAAAATTGTAATTTTTAACTAACCATAGGGACTAAAAATGTAATTTAGTCATAATTAAATTATGATTTTTTTATAAGCAAAAACCTTTTTTGAACACTTGCGCGGCTTTTTGAAGGATGAGGTGACCATTTGTATATTCTGGTTGCCTATATATACACATACTCCATAAACCATTTTTAAATTTCTCAAGCTTCATTACTTCGCCTCTGCAGTCTGCACTGCTTGTCTCGCAAAACCCTAATCACTAACGCTGCCAATAGGTAAACTCTTGTCCATGATCATGTATTTAGCGATTATGTTCTACAGTTTCTCTGATTTTTACTGTAGAAGCTTCAATTGGTTATTTTATTTGTTGTCCTAATTTCTAGTCGTGAAACTATAGATTTTGATATGTTATATAGGTTTATTTAGATTCAGCAAGTGATCAGAGTGATATAATCTGTCAACAGATTAATGGTTGTTTTCTAGAGGACAATGGTTAGGGTTTCAAAATGCATTGTTATAGGATTAATGCTATGACGCCATACTGATTGTTGATGGGCTTGAAATTCATTATTGAACTAAAAATCGTGTTGGTGTTCATGGTTGTGAATTTGGAAATTGCGCGTTACAGATATGGACGTTCATTGGAAGGAAGATCTGAGGATGCCATTTTTGCAACAATCTGATGATGTTGGGTTAGATGGTTCTAGGTCAATTCATAATGTGGATCAAGGGGTTACGACTATTACGTTCAAAATTGGGGGAGTCGAATTTGCATCAAGTTTGGCGTCCATCAAATCCATGCTTCAGAAGCTGGATGGCGTTGATAGCATTACTGTGTCACCACTTCAAGGCCAAGTTGTAGTTAAATATGTACCAGAACTTGTTAGTGTAAGTTCCATTAAAAATTTATTTCATTTTTACTTATATTATGTCTATCATTTGACAAAGAAATATAATTTAGGCAAGAACGATCAAAGAAACCATTGAAGCTGCAGGAGTTCAAGTCACTGAGTTTCTAGAGCAAGAAATAGCAGTATGCCGCCTCAAAATCAAGGGAATGTCATGCACAAGCTGCTCTGAGTCGATTGAAAGTGCTCTTTTTATGGTTGAAGGAGTAAAAAAAGCGGTCGTTGGTTTAGCTCTTGAAGAAGCAAAGATAAACTATGATCCCAATGTCACCAACACAGCTTGCATCATTGAAGCAGTTGTAGATGCTGGCTTTGGAGCCGATCTTGTTGGATCTGAAAATGATGCAAACAAAGTTCATATAAAACTACAAGGTATTGTATCTCCAGAAGACATGGATGCAATCAAGCAATCTTTAGAGTTGGTGGATGGTGTCAATCATGTTGAAATGAACACAGAAGAAGGTAAGGTGACTGTTAGCTTTGATCCAGATTTGACTGGTCCAAGATCCATCATATCATTCATCCAAGGCATTGGCACTTGTTATCAAGCCAGCTTATACATCCCAGAAAGGCAACGTGATACGGAGAGAAATCACGAAATTAGAACATATAGATATCATTTTTTCTGGAGTTGCTTGTTTTCGGTTCCAGTTTTTATATTCTCTATGGTACTTCCAATGACTCCTCCTTATGGGAATTGGTTAAGCTACAAGATTCATAACATGCTTACTATTGGCATGGTTTCTAGATGGATCCTCTGCACACCCGTGCAGTTCATCATTGGTCGAAGGTAGCAAAGATTTCTTTATCTTAAACATCATCTTTATCGTTACGGTTTCTTTATAAATAGTTCATCAATTCTATTCAGGTTTTATGTGGGATCATATCATGCTCTAAGACGAAGATCTGCAAATATGGACGTTCTGGTTGCACTTGGCACTAATGCTGCATACTTTTATTCTGTATACACAGTAATAAAAGCATTGCTTTCGGATAAATTTGAGGGCCAAGACTTCTTTGAGACTAGTACAATGTTGATATCGTTTATTCTTCTAGGTAAATATTTGGAATCTATGGCTAAAGGAAAGACATCTGATGCGTTAGCAAAGCTGACAGATCTTGCTCCAGATACTGCTTGCCTATTGACAATGAGTGAAGAAGGGAACACCCCTTCAGAAACAGAAATTAACACACGACTAATTCAAAGACACGACATTTTGAAGATCTTTCCGGGATCAAAATTTCCTGTTGATGGAATTGTTGTTGAGGGTCAGGGCTATGTGAATGAAAGTATGATTACAGGAGAAGCAACCCCAGTTGCTAAAATTAAGGGAGACAGGGTACTTCTGGTTTGTTTCCCTGTTTTTTAACATCAGATTCGAGCCGCTAATAATACTTGAAAATGCAAACAGGTTATTGGCGGCACCATGAATGAGAATGGATGCTTATTGATCAAAGCCACTCGTGTTGGTTCAGAGACTGCACTTTCTCAAATTGTTCAAATAGTAGAGGCTGCTCAACTAGCTCGAGCACCCGTGCAGAAGCTAGCTGATCAGGTATCAAAGTTCTTCGTACCTGCGGTAAGTTGTTGGGATTCTAGCAGACGATTTAAAGAATCAAACCATATTTATGTTGGATCTTGATGTGTGATAATTTAACAGTTCTTAAGAAAGACCATATTCTAAATTTCAGGTGGTTCTGGCCGCTTTTGTGACATGGTTGGGATGGTTCATTCCTGGAGTAGCTGGAATCTATCCTAAAAGTTGGATACCAAAGGCAATGGATGAGTTTGAACTTGCGTTACAGTTTGGTATATCGGTTCTGGTTGTGGCATGCCCGTGTGCTTTAGGTCTAGCCACTCCTACCGCGGTTATGGTTGCCACTGGCAAGGGTGCGTCGCAAGGTGTACTCATTAAGGGTGGAAATGCACTAGAAAAGGCGCACAAGGTACTTTATTGTTTCAAATCATAAATTATAGTGTTACCTCCTAGATTTTTGGTCGATTTAACGAAATATTTATTTTGGGTTGTGTAGGTTAACACAGTTGTATTCGATAAAACAGGAACATTAACTGTTGGAAAGCCTGTAGTTGCTAGCGCAGTACTCTTTTCCAGAATTTCAATGGAGGAGTTCTGTGATATTGCAATCGCTGTAGAGGTTGGTTTCGGGTTTCTACTTTCTAATTTAATTATCTGATTAATATCTGAGATAGGTTGAACTCATCAGATTACTTTCCAAAAAGCCTTTTGAGGAGAAAAAGGATTCTAGCAAATATAAAAATAGAAAGATACAAGTCTAGCTAATATGGTCCTCTAACAATCCATCTCTAATGAAGGGTAGACTGACACATGAAAATCTAGAGAATACACAAAAAGGCCCAAGCCCCGATCATGCCAACTTTTTCCCCCAAGGCCCGAACTTTAAAGCTCAACCTGAGAAAAGCCTGATTGGGTCTTCTTTCAACCCAAAGCCTTGCTTGGGCCTGAAAGAACCCGGGGAATATTTTTTGGTTGACTGAAAATGGACTTTGGAAAAATCGGGTCTTGTGCATCTTGATATGGAACCCATCAGATTACTCTAAAAAAAACACTTTGAAGAGGAGAAACTTCTAAAATATATTAAAGTAGAAAGGTTCAGTCTAGCTGATGTGTGACTTTAAAGGGGCCGTTTACTGAACACTTATCCAGTAAGCGCTTACCAGTAAAATTCAACACTATCACTTACTTACCGGGTAAGATTTTAGTCTATTAAAACGGCATTGTATGCAACAATTTACCTGGTAAACTCTAACCGTGGTAAGAGTCGTCGTACTCACTTACCGGGTAAGATTCTTGGTACTTGCCTCGCTCTTACCAGGTAAGATTCTTGGTCCTTACCATATTCATCCGGTAAGGTAATGTGACTAAGTAAACGCTTACCCGGGTAAGTGTTTGGTAAATGGGCCCAGTACTCTATCAATATCCGAAGTCATGGATACATTCGTTTTGTTTTTAGGCAAATAGCGAACACCCGATAGCAAAAGCTGTTGTGGAGCATGCCAAGAACCAATTGCCAAAGCATAAAACTCAACCCAGCAACGGTGAACTGGTTAAGGACTTCGAGGCGCATCCAGGAGCTGGAGTTGAGTGTAAAGTAGGAGCCAGAATGGTTTTGGTTGGGAACAAAAGACTAATGAGGTTGTTCAATGTCCCTGTTGGCCCTGAGGTCGAAAACTACTTTTCCGACAACGAAAAACTAGCTCGCACCTGCGTGCTATTTGCAATAGACGGGAAAGTTGCCGGTGCTGTTGCTGTCACTGATCCGGTGAAACCCGAGGCTCCACGGGTCATATCTTTTTTACACTCAATGAGCATTAGAAGCATAATGGTCACCGGTGATAACTGGTCCACAGCAACCGCTATAGCAAAGGAGGTTGGAATCGAAAACGTGTTTGCAGAAACCGATCCGTTGGGGAAAGCCGACAGGATCAAGGACTTGCAGGCGAAAGGAATGATCGTTGCAATGGTGGGAGATGGGATCAACGACTCACCGGCACTCGTTGCTGCTAATGTCGGAATGGCGATCGGTGCAGGAACAGATGTGGCAATTGAAGCAGCTGATATTGTGTTGATTAAAAGCAACTTAGAGGACGTTATCACCGCAATCGATCTGTCGAAAAAGACGATTTCTCGAATCCATCTGAATTACGTGTGGGCGCTTGGGTATAATGTACTTGGATTGCCGGTGGCTGCCGGAATCCTGTTCCCATTCACCGGAATCCGGTTACCTCCATGGTTGGCTGGAGCTTGCATGGCTGCTTCTTCTGTGAGCGTGGTTTGTTCTTCATTATTGTTGCAAACTTATAAAAAGCCGTTTGCATATACCAGATAATAAACCCTTTTCAAATACGAAGATTACTCTGTATAAATTCCAGATTTTTCAATAAACTTAATTGCTGCTTATGATTTGGCATGATTCAATGAATCAATCGATTTTTTCTATAATTATATTATACAGTATTTGACAAAAAATTTTAAAAATTATTTTTTATGTATGAAGTAATGTTTATTAATACATATTATTTGAAATTCAAAATTAAAAATAAGATTACGATGGTTGTAGGGAATCATTAACAGATTTTTTTAAATGAATTTTGTTTTAATAGATTCCTCAATTAAAAGGATAAAAGCAAGGTTGGAGAGTGTAAAGTTTTTTTATTTGGAGAATTTTTTTAAAATAATTATTGTAAGAGAGGAGCATTTTTTTATATATATTATATTATAGAGTAAGAATCTCGGTTATTATGATGTTTTTTTAGCATGTAAGATTGTGGGTCTTGGTGAGATGGTCAAATGGGCTCGACTTGGGATCAATTGAGACTGGTATGGGACCGTCGGTTAAGGACTGGTTACATTTTTAATAATAAAAAAACAAGGTCTGGCTCGGGCCGAGACCCGTTATGGGTCTGACTCAGAACCGTCCCTATTTTTTCAATAATTGTTAGGTTTTTTATAGCCGTTGGAATGTTCATATGACCGTTTTTTATTTGTTTATTAATATTTCATCTTTTTTGTCCCATTGACCCTCAATATTCAATATAAGTCAAGGAGAAGATATCAACTCACAAACGCAAAAACAAGTTCACAATTCTCACTATAATTCATGATTTCGGCTCATATATGATTTCCCTTTTTAACAAATTATAATAAAATGTATTTTTTAAGTGTATTTTTATTGACCCTATCACATATTTTAAAGTGTATTATTATAACTTTTTTGTATTCTTAAAAAAAATTCAAAAAAGAGGTATGTAGAAAAATGATTTTTTCTTTAAAAAATAGTTGGACCAATTTGGGTCCGGCCCGGGACCGTGACCAAGAGCAATTCTTAGGTTACACCGAGACCGGCTATGAGAATATTGTCCGGGACCGGAACCAATTTTTGACCATCTCTAGGTCTTGCAATACTCAACCAATATCTCTAACATATATTCTTCAAAATTCTTATTTGTGAGAATATAATAACTAATTATTTTTATATTATATCAATCATTTTTGGAGACTTTTTCTAAAAGAAACTGTTTGGTTTTTTATGATATAATGAGTCCGTTATTTTAAAAGTCTAAATTTTTTAAACTAAGAATAATGAAAATTCATTTCTATTTTCATTTCCTATCATTTTTATGTTTATTTCCATTTTTATTCTTCTCCCTGAATGGAGCATTATCATCGACCCTTCCAAGTAACATGGGATGGTCCAGGGGGCGGATCCAGACTTTAAGCACCGGAGGGAAAGACCCCAGTCAAAAACCAAAATCTTTGTTGACTAGTTTAAATTTTATATTTTCATCCTTATCTTACATGGTTTCTTTCAAGTCTCATATGGCCATATGTTTCTCTTCCTCAAGTTCCATCCAGCGTACCCCCACCCCATTAATTTCCCAAATAAATGGACCCACCTCTCACCATACCATTTCTCATGCCTGTTTCGTTTATTAACCCATGATCGTACATGTTGAAATGGAAAGTATCCATTCGTTGTATAAACTCATATTAGAATATGTATAAATAAAAGTTAGAAAGTATATAAATTTTTTATTTTAGTTTTATTATAATTGTCTTGTTAAAAACTTTCTTATGATATATTTTGTTGTAAAAAATATTTATTTTATTATAATTTAATAAATTACATAAATTTATCAAATAAAATACATAAACAACTCATTATAGATAAATTAGTCATTATCTGTTTTATCAGGTCCAATTTTATCTTACTAAACATTAAACAATTAGTCTCTACTATCCTATACTTATGTTATTGAAGTACGAGATGCATCATAAAATCTAGACTTGTTTGGTTTATTCCAAACTCCACGTGTTGAAGAATATCAACTCTCCACCGTCGATCTTTCTCATTATACAATCTTCATCGTTAGATTAGAAATACTAATACTAAACACCATTCATCCGCGAAGCACTGGATATTTCCTCCCCCATTAATCCATTATATATAACACTTCTTCCATGGGGCATTACGAGAACGTCTTTGGGCTGCACAACATATCTCCTCGTTATCCCCTCCGCGTCTTTAGTAGATCGCAGAGGTATTCTCTCTTTCTGATGTGAGTTTACTTTTTTCCACCGTTCGGCGCCGGCCGGATCGATTTTGTCTGAAGCAGACTTGTTAGCTTCAGTTCGGAAAAAATGTCCAACTTAGCGAAATTTTTACGAAATTTTTGTTAGAACAACTTTGTTTGGAATCCCCTGAAAGTCGTTTATCACTTTCAGATTGAAGTATTTCGACGGTACAATCGAAATCTTAATCGGATAAAATTCAGTGATTGACAAAACTTTGAATCCAAAATGTTATGAATCTGTGTACCTCTCTCTAAACGAAAAAAAATACCAATCCGAAGATTGAAAAAAAGTGTGAAAACTGTCAAAAACGGCAGTTTTTTGCACCCTAAACCAGGTTTAAAAACCGGGTTTAAAATCTCAAAATTCGGATTTCGACCCCAGCCGGGGGCGCCCCTCCCCCCACCCCGTCGTTTAGGGGTTTCGCCTCTAAATCAAAATAAACTCAAACAAGTATGCACTCTGCACCTTCCTTACTTATTCGATATTTTATCATGATTAGATCGGTCAACAAATTAATCCCATTACACATATTAGTGATACAAATCACCAACAATTTTCTTTTGTGATGTCAAAGACCTTCCAGCTTAACGGTAAAGATTTGGGCATGACATAGTCATGAACCAAGTTTCAGCCCTGAAAGGGAGTGTTGGCGACATTTAAGTGGGGCCATGTTTAGCCTCCAAAATTGCCGGGATTAGTCGGGCGTCGGCCCGGACACCCTTACAAAAAAAAAAAAAATCTTCTGTGATATTGTGTAGATTGGCTGTGTGATTTGTATCTCCATTGTTTGAACTGTAGATCTGATACGGTTGTTGTTTTTTATGTACTTCTCTTTGTTTATGCTTGCGTGTTTTGTTTCGATCTACTATTCGCTTCGTGTTAACGTGGTTGATTCATCCTGTTTCGCTTCTTGGCATTAGATCTGTTTGGATTTGTGATGTTTCAGTTTCAGTAGGTAGAGAATTCCCGGAAGAAGTTACGTTTAAGCTTTATAGCAAAATGTTTCTAGATTTTGTTTGGCTTTAAAGGTGATTAGCTTTATGATGTTAAAATTTTGTTTCTCCTCTGTTAAATTCGGGTTCGTTATACGGTGAATTTTCTAGGGTGGCGCATCAATCACTAGTGTTTTAAAATCAGATGTTTTGTTCGAATGTTGTATGTGCCTCCCCGGTTATACCTTACAGGTTGACGGATCAAATCCCTTCCCTCTGTTGTCAATTCAAGGTACTGATTTGTCCTAGTTTAGATATGTTGTTGTCTTTGTAACTTACTTAAGAGTAAATAAAAGTGTAAATAAAAGGTCGCGATTTTATCTCGGTGACTCCTGTGGGCCTTGGCTACTGTTGGAAAGTTGTGATATAGACAGGTTTAAGTTTTATGTGAAAGGAGATTTGCATGATTTGGTCTTATGTTTTTCAAAGGATGTACTGTATGTATTGACATGGTAGAAAATTTAAGCCATTGCAAATTGCGGAACCATGTAATATATAAGGTTGACCAGTTCCACTAGCATTCTGCAACAATCATAAAATTACTTTTGATTTTACAATCACTAAAATATTTCTATTGTTAACAATCACTTTGCCTTAGAGATTAATACTGTAAACAGAACACCAGTTTTGAGAAGAGTAGAGCAAACACTTGGTTGGTTGATCCTATGCTAATATGCTATAATTGTTGTTTTCTGTATTTGATTATCCGGATTTGGTTGATGTTTGGTGACCAACATCTTTGGCACCTGCTAGTTAATTTAGCTATATTGATTTGCAAACTTTTTCAGATATGTATGTCTTTTTCCTTGTTGAATATCTTTTCTTTTCTCTTGTTTAGGTTTTAATACGACTCAAAGCATGCTGATCGATTGATTCCGTTGATATAGCTTCTTGAAGTCATTTGACATATAGAGTTATAGACCATCTGATGATTAGCAATGATTTTGTTTTGAACCCTATATGGTTTTTCTGCAGGATCTTGTTTTCAACACAATGGCTGATCAAAACCAGTATTCAGCCACTGTTAGTAAATTAGCCAGCCAACTACACCTTTCGCAGGATGTTCGGGCTCGTTATGGTTCCTTCCAGAGGCCAGCTTCGAGTCAAAGGCAATTCACGTATGGAAATTATACAAATGCAGGGTTCTAGTATCCGGTGACACAGTCATTGTTAGCAGCAAATGCTTCTCCTGTTTTTGTTCAAGCTCCATCAGAAAAGGAGTTGCTGGTTTTGCCATTGATTTTCTCATGGGTGGTGTTTCTGCTGCTGTGTCGAAAACTGCTGCTGCTCCAATTGAGCGTGTGAAGCTTTTGATCCAAAACCAAGATGAGATGATCAAGACAGGACGCCTTTCTCAACCATACAAGGGCATTGGAGAATGTTTCTCTAGAACAATTAAGGAGGAAGGATTTGGGTCTCTGTGGAGAGGAAATACAGCCAATGTCATTCGTAACTTTCCTATTCAGGTACAACATCAATCTTCTTCCTTCGATCTTGTATGATAAAGCATCTACATGTTATTGGTTACTAAGATTTTTTTTCTTATTAGTTGTTTCTACGTTCTGCAGGCCCTTAACTTTGCTTTCAAGGATTACTTCAAGAGGTTGTTCAACTTCAAGAAAGATCGTGATGGTTACTGGAAGTGGTTTGCTGGTAACCTTGGGTCTGGTGGTGCTGCTGGTGCTTCCTCCCTGCTTTTTGTGTACTCCTTGGATTATGCTAGAATTCTTTTGGCAAATGATGCCAAGGCTGCGAAGAAGGGAGGAGAGAGGCAATTCAATGGGTTAGTGGATGTATACAAGAAAACTCTAGCATCAGATGGTATTGTCGGGCTATACCGTGGATTCAACATTTCATGTGTTGGTATCATTGTGTACCGTGGTTTGTACTTTGGAATGTACGACTCTTTGAAGCCAGTTCTTCTGACTGGATCAATGCAGGTTAGATCTTTTGTTCTATGTTTTACCTATTCTAAGGGATGATTATCACAAGTTTGTGTAAGTGACCAATGGTGTTGATTTGTATTTTCAGGATAGCTTCTTTGCTAGCTTTGCTCTTGGGTAGCTGATTACAAATGGTGCTGGTCTTGCATCATACCCCATTGACACAGTCCGCAGAAGAATGATGATGACATCAGGTGAAGCTGTAAAGTACACGAACTCTCTAGATGCCTTCACTCAAATCCTGAAGAACGAGGGTGCTAAATCATTGTTCAAGGGTGCTGGTGCAAACATTCTGCGTGCTGTTACGTGCTGGTGCAAACATTCTGCGTGATGTTGCTGGTGCTGGTGTCCTCGCTGGCTATGACAAGCTTCAGGTCATCGTTTTGGGAAAGAAGTATGGTTCCGGTGGGGCATAATTATTCTTTACACAAGTTGAGTCAATTTTGAGCGTATAATTACGATGGTGACGAAACTTTTGAGTTCAGATTAAGTTGAGAATTAATCTTGATCCCCAAAGGCAATCTCTCATCCGAATAACCTTCAAATATAGAGGGGAGTTTGTTTTTCCCCTAATAGTATTTTCTTCCTACAACACCTTTCAAGTTGAGGTTTTGTATTACGATTGTTTTTCCCCAAATGGTATTTCATTTTGCAATGGTTTCTGCTTGTTATTTGCCTTCTGTTTTGCGGCTCTATAGTTTTTAATGTTGATGCAAAATTCTGAATCTTGAAATGTGTTTTTGTTTCTTTTTGAATGTCTGAAACTATAACGTCACTTATTTACATCAAAGATCTGGTTTTTAACAACTCATGATGTTTTAATCTAAGTATCCATAAATGTTTGTCCCTAGTAAAGCCAGGGAGGAAAAAAGTAACATCTTCTTCCCAACCAGACTTGATTCCTACCAAATTTAACTCATGTTTTTACCATCCCTGGGTTTGCTTCAATCTAGGAGCTAAGTTGGGCTTGCAAAAGAAACCTTAAAGGATCTCCTCACACAACAACTGAATGGCCACCCATGGTGTTGCTGGCAATTTTATTAATAATTGGGACTTAAAACCCCAACCAAATACAAGTAATCTATATTTAGCACCAAAATAAGAACAACGATAATCAACAAGTCAAAAAGAAGGAAATATAGACCACACTAGGCATATTGAATCCTCTGCAATTTTCGAATGAACACCACCACCTTTACGTAGACCCAATCCTTCAAGAAGTCAACAAAGGGAAAAAATGCATGTCTCCCACGACATCCAAAATCCAGTAGCAAATCCGGTGCACCCACCAATGTAAAACCATCTTTGAAGTTCATCTACGCCTTCCTCACCACTTTTACGTTCACCAACAATATGTGGTACTTCATCTCCACGACAACTTTTTGCAAGGGGAGGTCCACATAGTCCTACATTTCCGGTGTACCTTGAAGGTTCAAAAGACTGGAGTTGAGTGCTAGATGGAATTCTCCCTGACAACTTATTATATGACACGTCTAGGTAACTTAACAAAGTCATGTTAGACATGCTTGATGGTATCTCTCCTAAAAAATTGTTTCTAGATAAATCCAGAGTTATAAGCTTCATCATTTCACCAATTTTTCGTGGAATCTCTCCAAATAGAGCGTTCTTTGACAAGTTCAGTACAAGCAGTTGATGAAGATCGACCAATTCATTTGGGAATTTTCCCGTTAAGTTGTTGCTTGACAAATCAATGCTCGTCAATAATCCCAGATTATTGGTGAATTCCTGTTCATTTCCTTGCCACTCGACCATCGCGTTGTCAACATAAGTACCAATGAAACTCATGTTTCCACCATAACTATGAATGTTATATTGCAATAACCTTCAGTCAACCATGGCATTTAAATTATTCACGCATGATGGAATGGTTCCGTTGAGGTTGTTGATTGACAAGTCTAGGATTTGAAGGTACATGAGATGACATAGTTGTAAAGGATTGGGTCCAAACAAGTTGTTTGATCTTAGGATAAGACCATACAACCCTGTTAAGTTTTCCCCAATCCAAACAGGCACATTATCAAAAATCTTGTTGGCCCCTAAATTCAAAAACCTTAACCTTGTGCAATTCTTCAAAGCCATAGGCAATTCTCATGAAAAGTTGTTGTATAAATCCAATACCTGGAGTTGAATCAAATATCCTATAGAAGCAGGAAGCCTTCCAAAAAGATCGTTGTGTCCTAGATTAAGAACTATTAGTTTTTTGAAATGCCACAAACAGTCAGGAAGTTGCCCGGTTAAAGAGTTGTGGGAGAGGTCAAGAAACGACAAAAACCCGCCAACAATTTGGCACAAGAAGGAGATACCACCATAGAATTTGTTTTCGGATAGATTCAACGATGCCAAAGTAGAAGGAACATTTGGTATTGGCCCAGAGAAGTTGTTGGAACTCAAATCTATCATTGCCATGGGGCCAAAATTTGATGATAAATCTGATATTTTCCCGTTGAAGTTGTTGGAAGAGAGATCCAAATGCATCAATTGTGAAGGCCATGACTTCCAAAACTCGACCGAGATTGTGCCTAAAATTCTGTTATTGGAGATATCAAGATAGGTAAGATTTTTGTGTGTTTGAATCCATTTGGGGAAGAGAGGCCCTAGATTGCAAGCACTCAAATCAATATACTTTACATAATAAAGTTTTGAGATATGAGCTTTGGAAGGAATCACTACAAGTGAGTTGTTTGAAAGATCTACATACAAAACCTTTGACTTTCCAATGTTTGGAGTGATAACAAGAGAATTGGAAGAGACTTTTAGACTTTGAAGATTAGGTAGTTCCCACACCTTTTCACTCATAGTCCCATTTAAGGTATTATTATGAAGAAGCAAATGTTGTAGGGATGAAAAATTTTGGATCTCGTCGGGCAATGACCCTGTAAGTTGGCTAGACGGAGCATACAAACCTCGCAATGTAACCGATGTGCATCCAGACAAGTTGTTTAGAAAATCTGTAAAATTGACAACTGCAGAGTTTCTATAGAAGTATAAAGATGTCAAACTACAGAGATTCCCAAGATATTTGGGTATCCCATCTAACATGTTCCCAGAGAGATGAAGAGAGAGAAGTCTATTGCTTGTCAATAGGAACAACCAACGATACATGGATGAGTTGAGATTGTTATCACTGAGATCCAGAAATTGAATAGATGAAGAAGAAGAAGAGTTGACATATGAAGAATGCGGATGCATGACCTCTGAGAGGTCACATCCCTGTAAAATTAAATATGATAGTTTTGAGAGACTTGGAATGACATCTATCTAGTGAGTTGCATTGGCTAGGGAAATATGTGTCATATCAAGGTGTTGCAAATGAGAAAGATTAGACAACCAATCCAGGGTTTGAATCGTAGATAATCTTTCATTGTTTCCAAGTGAAAGATTTCGCAAGTTTGTGAGGTTTCCAAATTCTGGAAGAATGGTTCCATTGAAGAAATTGAAGGAAAGGTCAAGATACCTTAATTGAGTCAAGGAACCAATGGACCTGGGAATGGTTCCATGAAAAAAATTGAAAGAAAGGTCAAGATACCTTAATTGAGTCATGGAAGTAATGACTTTGGGAATGGTCCCATCGAAAGAGTTGAAGCAAAGGTCAAGATGATTCAAGTAGGTTAAGTTAAGCAATGACGGGCTAATCTCACCTCTAAGATGATAGGAGTGTAGGTTAAGCTCTGTGACATGACCTGTATGGTTGTTGCAGGTGACTCCACTCCATTTACAACAATCATCATCTTCTGCAGGTCTCCATGTAGAGAGTTGGCCAAGGGGGTCTCGAAGGGAAGCTTTGAAATGAAGGAGGGCTTGTTTCTCCTTGTGGAAGCATGACTTGTTGATGCCACCATAATTACCATCTGTTGCTGCTGCTGATTGGTTTCCAATAGAAGAACAAGTGGCAAGAATTGTAGTGTTTGGGCATAGCAAGAGCATACTAATAAGAACAAAGTAAAACCAAATCATTGCTTAATCTATGGAAATTGATGTATATGTATTTGGTGATTTGATTTATTAAGGAAGTGGTTGTTTTGATGCATCCATGAATCAATGAAGGTTTATTTATATAATAGTTTCAAGTGTGAAGGTTTCTATGCTACTTGAGTTACAAGTCGTAGATTTCCAAGATTGGTACATATATGTTTTAGTCAATAATAATAATTATTATCCTATTATTAATAACTGGGCCCAAATAAGTGAATTGTAATTATCATTTGGGTTAAGGGTATACAAAAAACCGTCTAGAAAACAAACTAATGGACCCTATTAAAACAACCATTGATAATAACACATAGAGGTGACATAACATAGAGACAAATTATGAAAGATACGTTAACTTTGAATTTGACCAAAAACTTATCACGGTTGGCTTACCATGTAAATTATTGCATACGATACTGTTTTTGTTGACTAAAATCTTACCCAGTAATAAATGATAGTGTTAAATTTTACCGATAAACGTTTATCAAGTGTTCAATAAATACCCCTAAGACTTCTTATATAGATCTCACTTTTAAGTCCTATTCTTATACGATTCTTCGTACTGTGATTGAATGACAAATAGAAAGTTAAAATTAGAAAGAAGCGTAAGAATGGGATGATATTGGCCTGGGCCTGGACTTGTACACAAGTGATATGGGCTGTGGGCTCCCCTCCACTGAATGAAGTCCTAAACTCATTCGTCATCTCACTCTTCATCACTCCCCGACGATATCGGTTCAACAGGCACCAGCGATCAACTCCACCCGCGCTTCGCAACTCAGTAACTCCACCTCAATCACAGCGATTTCCACCAGGTTACTTGACTATCAATTTCAATTTCCAGCCCTAACTTCTTCATTAAGGTTTTAGGTTACTTGACTATCAATTTCAATTTCAATTTCCAGCCCTAACTTCTTCATTANGCCCTAACTTCTTCATTAAGGTTTTAGGTTACTTGACTATCAATTTCAATTTCAATTTCCAGCCCTAACTTCTTCATTAAGGTTTTAGGTTACTTATTCTAAGAAGTCTTTCATATTACCGACTACAGTTTAGTTTGAATTGAGGATATTTGTCGTTCCGAGTTTGAGGTGGAAGACGACGATGAGGACGATAAGGATGTAGCAGGAAACCGGAGGCGAAAGAGGAAGAAGTTTGATCCGTTCCGAGATCTACATGATAAGTATGCAAATAGTTTTGATTATGTTACTAACCCTTGTAAATTATTAGGCATGAGAATGGACCATGACGGGTCAGGGAACCCAGTCTACCCGCCTCAGTCGGCGACGATGATTCTCCGCTAAACCGGGGATAAGGACAGAGATGGGAATCCCGTTTGTCTCAAACCGGGGGATATGGAAGGCGCATTGTATCCGTGATATATATAATTAATAAATTAAATATATATTATTTATTTCAATGAAATTGGTAATTCATAGTTTACTATTTACTACTTAGATTTAGAATCTAAAAATGTTATTTTTTTTAATGTTAATATACAATATTTTGGATATCAAGTCAAAATACAATTACTTAATATGTTTAGATGTTATTCGATATGTTTTGATACGTGTAACATTAAGATTTTCTAGATCAAGTTGAATTTCTTTTAATTTTAAGTTATTAATTATTATATGATATCGTGATTTTTTGTATTAAATTTAAACTTTTCCATTTTAGTTTATTGGAAATATGCAAGACTTAAATATGTGTGGTATCTCTTATATTTGATTTAAAATAACTTAGTCAGGCAGTGAAAAATCTTCGTCTCCCCGTTTCTTGTTGCCGTTGAGGCCAAGGATGGGGACGTGATAATATTCCTCGGCAGGGACGGGGATGGAAACGGATATGAGGGATCAGGGACTGGGACAGGTTTCTTGTCCAATCCCCGCCCATTCTCATGCCTGTAGATTGTGTTTTGATTAGAACCGTTGATTTCTCAAGCAACTGTGGGATTTCCCATCGAGATTCTTTGATTGTTATATCGGGTTTATCGACAGATTAGGTATATACTTTGTGTAGGGGTTTTAGTTTGAATGTTTGATTACTTGCGAAATTGGCCAAATTTGGGGAGAAATTGAAGCCTCGAGATATTTGGTTGTTTTGATCCATTCCCAATGCTTGATGAAGTAAGAAGAGACTGTTTTGTGATGATTTTGTATTTTCTTGTGATGAAATCAAAATTGTTCATCTTTTTAGCAGAACTTAAAATTTGAAAACATTCAATAGATTTGTGGTTTATTGTTTTTCAAAATTATGTTTGATTTAATGGGGTGAAATAACATGTATGCGAAAATTGTGTTTGGTTTCATGTGATGAAATAACACACACATATATGTTTGAGTTACAATAAGGTTGAGAATTAATCCTGATTCCCGAAGGCGTTCTTTCTCATCCGAATAACCTTCAAATATAGAGGGGAGTTTGTTTTATTTTTTCCCCGAATGGTGTTCTTTTTCCTACATCACCTTCCAAGTTGAGGTTTTGTATTAGAATTGTTTTTCTCTAAATGGTATTTCATTTTGCAACGGTTTTTTCTTCTTATTTGCCTTCTATTTTGCGAGCTCTAGAGTCGGTTAATGTTCATGCAATTTCTGAATCTTGAAATGTGTTTTTTTTTCCAACGTCTGAAACTATAACATCACCAATTTGCATCAAATATCTGTTTTTTAACAACTCATGATGTTTTAATCTATGTACTCACGAATATTTCTCCCTTAAAGGGTGCCCTATATCCTATTCCTCACACAACAGGGAAATGGCCACCCATGGTGTTCGGTGGCAATTTTATTCATGATTGGGACTTAAACCCATACCAAATACAAGTACTAAACATATCTCTAGCACCAAAGTAGCAACAATAAGACGAAATATAGACCACTATATCACTATGCGTGTTCAACCCTTCGCAATTTTCGAAAGAACACCACCACCTTTACGTACACCCAATCCTTCCAGAAATCAACAAAGGGAAAAAAAGCATGTCTCCCACGACGATTGACAAGTAAAGCGCCACATGCTATCCAAAATCCAGTACCAAAACCAATGCCTCCACCAATATAAAACCATCTCTCAAGTTCATCTATGCCTTCCTCACCATTCTCATTTTTACTTGCAACAGGTGGTACTACATCTCCAGGACAATTTTTTGTAAGGGGAGGTCCACATAGTCCTGCATTTCCGGTGAACTTTGAAGGTTCAAAGGACTGGAGTTGAGTGCTAGATGGAATTCTCCCTGACAAATTGTTATGCGACATATCTAGGTAATTTAATGAAGCCATTTGAGACATGCTTGATGGTATTGCTCCTGAAAAATTGTTTCTAGATAAATCCAGAGTTAAAAGATTTTTCATCTCGCCAATTTTTATTGGAAGCTCTCCAAGTAGAGTGTTCTTCGACAAATTCAGTGCAAGCAGTTCATGAAGATCGACCAATTCATTTGGGATTTTTCCYGTTAAGTTGTTGCTTGACAAATCAATGCTCGCTAACAATCCCAGATTGYTGGTGAATTCGCGTTCAATTCCTTGCCACTGAATCATCCCGTTGTCAACATAGTTAAAGAAAATGTCAAGTAAAGTAGCATTAGCTTTGTAAGCCAATGGCTGGCGTATGTTYCGGCTTTGCAAATATCTTCCYTGAACAATGGCASTCAAATTRTTAATGCATGATGGGATGGTTCCATTGAGGTTGTTCCTTGACAAGTCTAGGATCTGAAGGTTCACAAGATGACATAGTTGTAAAGGAATGGGTCCGAAGAAGTTGTTTGATCTGAGGATAAGAACATACAATCGTGTTAAGTTTTCCCCAATCCAATCTGGCACATTACCAAAAAACTTATTGGCTCCCAAATACATAAAATTTAGATTTGTGCAGTTCTTCAAAGCCAAAGGCAATTCTCCTGAGAAGTTATTGTTGTATAAGTGCAACACCTCGAGTTGAACCAAATATCCTATAGAAGCAGGATTCCTTCCAAAAAGACTGTTTTGTCCTAGATTGAGAACTTTCAGTTGTTTGAAATGCCACAAACAGTCAGGAAGTTGCCCAGTTAAAGAGTTGTGGGAGAGGTCAAGAAATGATAAGAACCCGTCAACAATTTGGCATAAGAAGGAKATTCCACCATAGAATTTGTTTTTGGAAAGATTCAACGATASCAAAGTGGGAGGAACATTCGGTATTGGCCCATAGAAGYTGTTGGAACTCAAGTCTATTGTTGCATAGAGGTCAAAATTCGATGATAAATCTAGTACTCTCCCACTGATGTTGTTGGAAGAGAGATTCAGATTAGTCAATCGTGAAGGCCATGTCTTCCAAAACTCCGCAGGAATCGTGTCTGAAATTCTAGCATTGGCGACATTAAGAATGGTAAGTTTTTTGTAGGTTTGAAGCCATTTGGGGAAGAGAGGCCCTACCTTGCAACCGCTTAAATAAATACGCTCGGTGTAGGAATGGACTAATATATGATCTTTGGAAGGAACCACTTGAAGCGAGTTGTTTGAAAGATCTGTATACCCAAGCTTCGACTTTTCAATGTTTTGAGAGATAGYAAGAGAATTGGAAGAAACATCTAGAACTTGAAGATTGGGTAGTTCCCACACTTTTCCACTCATAGTCCCGTTTAAGTGATTATTAGATAGGATCAGATTTTGTAGGTATGAAAACTTTTGTATCTCATCGGACAATGGCCCTGCAAGCTGGTTATACGATGCATCCAACACTTGCAATGTAACCGTTGTGCATCCAGACAAATTGTTTAGAAAATCAGCAAATGTGACGACTACAGGATTTTTGTAGAGATTTAAGTATGTCAAAYTACAAAGATTTCCAAGATATTTGGGTATCTCATCTAACATGTTGTTAGAGAGGTCAAGAAAGAGAAGTTTATTGCTTGTTAATGGGAACAACCAGCGATACATAGATGAGTTGAGATTGTTACTTCCGAGTCCAAGAAATCCAATAGATGAAGAAGAAGCATTGACAAATGATGAACACGGATACACGACCTCTGAAAGGTTACATCTCTGTAAACTTAAACTTGTTAGTTTCGGGAGACTTAGAATGATATCTACCCAGTGATTTGCTTTGGCTAGGGAAATCTCATCCATATGAAGGTATTCCAAACGAGAAAGATTAGACAACCAATCTAGGTTTTCAACGCTACATCTTGCAAGTTGTTCAAGTGAAAGATATTGCAAGTTTGTGAGTTTCCCAAGTTCTGGAGGAATAGTTCCATGAAGTGAGTTGTCTGAAAGGCCAAGGTACCTTAATTTGGTCAAGGAACCGATGGACGTGGGAATGGTTCCATTAAAAGAATTGAGAGAAAGGTCAAGGTACGATAACCGAGTCATGGAACCAATGGAGTTGGGAATGGTTCCATGAAAAGARTTGTAAAAAAGATTAAGGTACGATAATCRAGTCATGGAACCAATGAAATTAAGAATAGGTCCATGAAAAGAGTTGGAGGAAAGGTCAAGATGATTCAAGTAGCTTAAGTTAAGCAATGAAGGGCTGACCTCACCTCCAAGACCTCGAAGACCTGTTAAAGGATTGGATGACAGGTCGATCTTTGTTACATGACGTGTCTGGTTGTTGCAGGTGACTCCACTCCATTTACAGCAATCATCGTCTTCGAGTCTCCATGTAGAGAGTTGGCCAAGGGGGTCTTGCAGGGAAGCTTTGAAATGAAGAAGAGCTTGTTTCTCCTTATGGAAGCACTTGATGACAGCATCTCCGCCACCTTCTGCAACTGCTACCAACTGGTTGCCAAGAGAAGCGGCAACACTTATAGCGTTTGGGCGTAGCAAGAGAAGAATAATAAAGTAAAACCAAATCATAGCTTAGTTTATCAAAATATAAATGGTGGTTTAATTTCTGTAATGAGATGGTTATTTGCATGCACCAAACAAGGTTTACATAATGAAGATTTCCGTGCTACTAATAAATGGACCAAACTAAGCCAACATGACATAACGTGA